CCCCAAAACCCCAAAACCCCAAAACCCCAAAACCCCAATAAGCTTTGGGCTGGCTGAAACACATCTCAAATGCCATCAATGAGGCCTATAACTGCAGTAATTTTCTGCTATATTGGTAACTCACAGTTTCTAAAATTCACTTCCTAAGGTCTTGTCGCTATTAATAATATTCTTTAAAAATCTGCCGAACTAAGGTTTCAATGCCCCTACTGGACTAGTGCTGCTCACATTGAGATCTAGCAAGCAGCCAGTAATATTCTAGAGTAAGTTAAGCCAAAGAGAGTTCAAAGAATTGCATTTATCTATTAAGCAGCAGCTTCTGTCTCTTAGAGGAACAGCTAATATGTTGTGATTTAGGGTATTCTTGTCTAGGCATTTCTACTGGCTTAGCCTGCTTTATTTTCTTGAATCCCTTACTGATACACTTCTTAATCTCGTTCGGGTCACTAAGGATTGGATCGGCTCTTTTAGAATATTCTTTCAGGTCTCTCTTTTTCTATGTAAATTTGTCAGTAATTGGATTTAGACTCAGGAAATAACCGTGTGAAGAAAATGTAAGAATTAGTATACAGAAGCGAGAAACCTACCTTGCTCCTTATCTTGGATAACCTTTGGTGCAGATGAGGATTGTTGTAGCCAAAGGCCATCCTCTTCGAAGTAGGGTGCACTATTTTTGCACCTCTGTGGCTTCTTGAAGAAATATGTGACCTCTGAGACTGGGACGATAAACCATTGGGTTTAGAGGTATTGTATTGATGCCTTGGAGCAGTAGCAGGAAGAACCTTCCCATCCTTCTCTGAATAGGTAGGCTTGTGGATTCTAGGCTCAACACTTCCCCTATTCTTCTCTGTGTGCGATAGGTTGCTAATGGATGAAGATTGAGCAACTTTTTCCGAATTTCTAGCATCGCGTTCATTTTTATTTACTCTATTCTTAAAAATCTCTCTTTCATAAAGATGAAGATTTTCAGGCTTGTTTTCCTTTTCTTTGTCTGATTTTGATTCTGTGAAATGAGGGCTTTCTTTAAGAGAATCTTTCTTAGAATCGCATTTCTCTTCCAAACTGGATTTTTTGGTATCAAATGCATTTTGAGCTAGAGAATTCTTAAAAGGCATATTCTCCATCTCAATGTCTTCATAAGACCCCATTCTCGAAGGCCCAAAGCTAATCTTTGAAGTGAGCTTTGTTGCTCTGTGATTTATCTCTTGCTTTTCTTCCTTTTCGGATTTCTCTTCTTCACTGCACTTGCTCATCAGTGCATTCATTTCATGAGTTTTACCGATGATTTCTGCTCGAACGTGTTTGGATTCATCCTCGAAATCTCAGTCAGACTTGAGATCTGAGACGATCTGCTTACTGTTCAAGACATCTTTACTCGGAGTGAACTTAGAATATTCTCGATTTCAGTTATTCCTCCCAGTAGGAGATAGCTCTTCATTGGCTTGTCTGTTAGTAAAGTCATTGCTGTTCTCTTCTACTATCACGTTGATTTGTTGGTCATTCGATTCCCCTTCCTGGTCTAAAGAGAACTCCTCGATCTTCTGAGTAGGGTCATCTCCCCTAGCCTGATGGGAGGTAGTCGATTGCTGGTCAATAACTTGTAGTTCATCCGTTTTCTTTTTGATGATTGATAGGTTAGCTACAGTAGCATCTTTGCTACCGTATCACCTGAATGATGGATACTTCTCCTGGAGATCTAAATATAGTTCATCAAACATTTCATCCAATTGGTCGTATGACCTCTGATGAATGTAGATGGAATTCTTATGGCTCTCACTTTCAACATGCTCGAAGTAGTTCTGGAACCCAACTTTTCAGAGGAAGCAGAAGCTATGTTTGGAGGAAGGTTTTTGTTCAGGATGGTCTTCTGAGCAGTTCTTTCCCATACCTCCTATCTTGTTCGTCAGTTGCTTAATTGACTTCCTGTATTTCTCTTGTAAGGTTGTCCTGACATTTGATTTCGTTGCTAGGAAAATATTATTTCTGAGCGAAAATCAAATCTTTGAGAATTTATGAAAAAATTTTAAAATTTCAAATCTAGTGCCAAAATTACTTACAATGTTGATATTCTTCAAATGTCTGAAAAATTGCGGTACCTTGTGGAGCATTCAAATTGATCACTGGAATTGACACTCGAAGAGAGCTGAAAGTATCTATTAAAGGACTGCTCTGTCTCAAGTACTCCGCTTCCTTTGAATTGAGTTTCTTGTTGACCCAAGCCTCATCGAGCTGGTCGTAGTGGACGATATGGTCCATTTCTCTATTGACTACATCAGTCAATCTGTAGAAGGAAGCAGCTCAGAATAGAGACTTATAGTCGAATTCTCCATATTCCTTAATCATTGGCTTGAGTCTTTTTCTGAACCAGTCAAGGTTGCCCTTGCTAGACTCTTGTCTGTTGATAATATCATACAGATCGTTCAGGGTCAAGATTTTCCATCTTTCATTCGATAAAAAGTTAAATACATTAGGACATTTGGAGTTCTTTGGGGCACTCTCAGAAGATGCTTTGATGCTCTCCAAATGCTTCTTTGGAGCATGGGTCACCAACTTAGCTATTCTTGACTTGTAATTACTCTCGTGGATGAAGCTAATACTCTTCGTGATGTCCTGTTGTCTGTTGATTCTTTCCTCTTGAGTGTGTGCGTTGTTCATGTGAGTAAAGATTTCAATCTGTTCTTGTTTCCTGTGCTTATCTTCACCGTTGAAAACGCCCTCATTCACGATGATGTAATCAGAATCAGCAAATGAGGTCTTTATGACTCCATTATTTTCAGTTATTTTTCTTCCAATGAAATTTTTGTCATTTCTACTTAGTGTGGGAAGGCACAGGAAGTATTTCTTGTTCATGAAATCAAGTTCATTCTTGAGAGATTCCCATCCCAACTCAGCCTTAAAAGAGATGAATGAGTTCTGGTATTCGTTCAGATATTGATGTTCTTCACTATTCTGCCTTCAGAGAGAAGCATCTTTGGTAAGATATGTTTTATTTGTCGCAGAACTGGAGGTTTTGAGGTAAGCTAGTCCTTTACTCAACTTATAAAACTCTTGTTGCTTCTCTTTAAAAGAAAGATCGTTCCACTTATGCTCGAGATCCTTAATATCATTATTGATCTCTTCCTGATAACTCATATCCAGGGTTCTGGTAATTCTTGCTTGTGCCATCTTGGGTTTAAATATTGAATAAATTTTATAAATCAAATCAAATGTGAATTATTTGTATTTCTTAATAAGAAGCGCCAGTACTTATTCATTTCAACTAGCATACTGTTTGTCGGGGTTTTGGGGTTTTGGGGTTTTGGGGTTTTGGGG